AGAAGAGAGAGGGGGAGTGAAAGAAAAGTGAAAGAGAGAGCGAGGAGGAGAGGGAGAGAAAACGAGAGAGATACAGTGTAGAGTAAGCGAGTGAGAACTAATATGCGAGAGAGAGAGAGAGAGAGAGAGAGAGAGAGAGAGAGAGAGCGAGAGAGAGAGAGAGGAAGAGAGAGAGAGAGAAGAGAGAGAGAGAGAAGAGAGAGAGAGGAAGAGAGAGAGAGAGAGGAAGAGAGAGAGAGAGAAGAGAGAGCGACAGAGACATTTTATTCTTCCTTCTCTTCATCCAGTTACCCAGAAGTGTTAGCAGGAGATTTGAAAAACAAGAGCGTAATTTTTTTTCCTTTTTTTAAAATAAACAATATAAGTTTATCTTATTTCTCTCATTGTTCTATCTTTTGCCCAGTCTTCTTATTTCGGCTTTCTTCATTATAAAGTCTATAGGTAGTTTTCTATGGCGACTGGTACGATTGTATTATATTCAGAATGCCAAACGTCTTGCATTGTTTTTTAATGAACTGGACGACAAATTTCAGTCCTATTTTCCCCCCTCCAGATTTGATCTTTCTTCTCACGAGTTTCTCAACTCATCACTTATTATGTTTGTTCATTAACTCGTTCTTCTGTACTCTGTTTGCTACATTACCTCGTCGGTAGGATTATCTATTACTACATTAACTCACTATTACATTAATCATCAGAAACGTAGTTTTATATTATGCATATATTACACTAGCCTGTTACTACATTAACGTATTTTTACATTAGCCCACTTTTAGTGTAACCCACTTTTACATAAATTCACTGTTACATTAACTCACTGTTATGTTATCTCCCTGTTACATTAATTCACTGATCCGTGCATATTCCACAGTGAAAGTAAACAGCTGCAGGACCACATAAACTAATAACATGACAGTTGACATCACATGAAGATCAATACTGAAAGAAAAAAAAAAAAAACAGAGAATAAATAGAGAGCAACAAGCCATTGACAAAATGATCAAAGATCAAAGTCTGAAACAAATGCAATAATTTAAACACATGGGAAGCATCTTTACACGCAATGATAAAATAGATAAAAAGATAGAAACGAGAATCCAGCAAGCAAACGATGTCACGTACCAGCTTGCTCCAATTTTAGAAACACCAAGCTATCACAGTAGAGACAAAAAGACAAATTATAAATACGATATTTATACCGAATTTAGGCTAGAAGTGTCAGACTTGGACATTGACAAAAGAACACTAAAAAATAAATAAATAAATAAACAGATGTTAGATAAGATGTTTTAGAATGACTGTTAATAAAACCAGAAAAGATCGAGTGAGAAACGATGTGATCACCAACGATGCCAGCCGCAAGAGCGTACAACCTGAAAATCGAAACATCAAGAGGCAGGGGAAGACCGAGAAGAATATGGATTGAAGCAATCATTGACACCTTGAGACTGCATAACATCACGGCATATCTAGCGGCTGCCGATCTTCTGATAAACTGCGACGCCTGGCGGCATAACAAGATATTGACAAAAGAAAGAAGAAGACTGTCGCATTACCTGTCTATTACACTGATCCACGGTTACCCGACCCCACAATTATACTAAGCAACCGTAATGTTACCTCATAATTGCCTTAAACCACTGTTACATTACCTTACTACTACAATTACCAACTGTTACACTAACTCACAATTACACTAACCCACTGTTACGTTACCTCAGTATTACATTAACTCACACTGACATTTACCAACTGTTGCAACCGTCACTGTTACACTGCCTCACCGTTACACTAGCTCACTATTACATTACTCCCCTTTTACACTAAGCCTCTGTTACGTGACTCACTATTACATTACCTAACTTTTACGTTACCTCGCTATTATATTTACCAATTGTTACGTTACCTGTCTATTGAACTAATAACTGTTACGTTTCTTCACTATTGTATTAACCAGCTGCCACGTTACCTCACGATTAGACTGAAATACTGCTACATTACCTGGCTATTTACCAAACCCACTATTACATTATCTCGCTATTACACTAACCTACCACTACATTACCTAACTATTGCACTAACCCACCATTACATTACCTCACTATTACACTAACCCACCATTATATTGCCTCACTATTACACTAATCCACTGTTTCATTGCTTTACTATTACACTAACCCACCATTACATTACCTCACTATTACACTAATCCACTGTTTTATTGCTTTACTATTACACTAACCCACCATTACATTACCTCAGTTTTACACTAACCCACCATTACATTACCTCACTATTACACTAAACCACTGTTCCATTACTTCCCTTTTACACTAACCCACCATTACATTACCTCACTATTACACTAACCCACCATTACATTACCTCACTATTACACTAACTCACTGTTCTATTACCTCACTATTACACAAAGCCACTGTTCAATTACCTCTCTATTACACCAACCCACTGTTTCGCTACCTCACTTTTAAACGTATCTACTGTTCTATTAACTCACTATTACACGTATCCACTGTTCTACTACCTCACTATTATACTAACTCACTGTTCTCTTACCTCACTATTACACTAATCCACTTTTCTATTACCTCACTAATTCACTAATCCACTGTTCTATTACCTCACTATTACACCAACTCACTGTTCTCTTACCTCACTATTGCACTTATCCACTGTTCCATTACCTCACTATTACACGTATCCTCTGTTCTACTACCTCACTATTACACTAACTCACTGTTCTCTTACCCCACTATTACACTTATCCACTGTTCCATTACCTCATTATTACACTAATCCAATGTTCTATTTCTCACTATTACACTAACTCACTGTTCTCTTACCTCATTATTAAACTATTCCACTGTTCCATTACCTCACTTTTACACTAATCTCCTGTTCTCTTACCTTACTATGACACTTATCTACTGTTTTATTACTTCACTATTACACTAACTCACTGCTCTCTTACCTCCTTATTACACAAACCCACTGTTCATTTACCTCACTTTTAAACGTATCCACTGTTCCATTACCTTACTATTACACCAACCCACTGTTCCATTACCTCACTATTACACTTATACACTGTTCTATTACCTCACTATTACACAAACCCATTGTTAAATTGCCTCACTAGTGGAGTTATCCACAGTTGCACTCATCCAGTGTCTCATTAACCCTCTCTTACGTCATCCTACTGTTACATTACACAACCCTAACAATAACTCTGTGTCATATTATCTCTCACTGTTGGATGCCTTTAATGTTACATTACCTCAGTGTTACATTACCTCTCTGTTACATTAACTCTGTGTTACATTTAACCTATGTTGCATTTCTTCACTATTGAATTTCCCTAGTGTGACAGTACCTCACTGTTGCTTTTCCGCAGTGTTATCTTTCTGTTACAGTACTTCACTGTTGCATGTTTCAAGTGTTACATCACCTCACTGCTTATCAAAGGTTGGATCACAAAAGATACGATCTTTGACGACACAGTGAATAATGATTTTGGCGATGATGGTGGTTGCAGCCGTGGTGGTAGTAGAGGTAGCGGTGGTGATGATGCTGTTGATGATGACAAGAAAAAAAAAAAAACTCAATTTTATTTTAATTTCATATTTTATTTACTGCATCAGACAAAGCCATCGACATACTGCACTCCATGTTACATCTTTTTATTTTTTTTCTCCCCCCCCCCCCCAAAAAAAAAAACAGTTTTGTTTTAATATGGCGGAAAATAATATATATACACACGTTTTTAATCTTGTGGCGCAGAAGAATGTCAGGTTTTGTGAAATTTTGTGGAAGACAACTTCCGGTTGTATTCAGTCTCTAGTAGGAATCGTGTCTTCAATTTCGATTCGAATACAGTATTACTTTCTTCAACTTTCCATGGGAAATATGGCTCTGCCCTCCACTAATAAATAGTTAATTTATATAACCTACAGGATAACGCTTACTGAAAAAATGATACACAACTTTTTGTCATTTGTCAGAGTCAGCTTTGGATGAGACTAGTTGCTTGTTAATCCCCTAAATGATATCCCTGTATCAGCTTATGAGAACGGGTCCAGTCCGTTCTGTACAAGTTGAACTGTTAAGAACATCATCATCATAATTATCCAGAGCCTTGCCGATCGGCGTATGCGTAGATGCCTCTTTACAACTCAAAATCTCCAACAGTTGGTTTGCCGAGGCACCCTCCATGCCACGACAAAAGGCTGTTGTAAAAAAAATTTCTCTCGTTAAGTCTTCTTCTGCCTCTGCCATTGAAATGGCTCTTATGTCAAAACACTTGGGTTACTCATTTTGTTAAAAAGGGGTAGGTTAAAAAAGCTCTCATTTATTCCTACCTAAGCATTAGACTACATTTCTTTCTAAAGCTTGATGTCCAGATTACTTCCTTTGTTAAAATCTGCTAGATATTACTAGAACTGTGGGGCGAGGTCAAATCACAGGCGCTCGGATAGTTTTACTGCAAACCCATTCAAGGTATATTATGAAGCGTGGAAGAATTAAATCAAGCAGCTGTTAGGAAGCAAGAATGCGACAGCTGTTTAACAGAAGTATTTAGCCGATGATATATGACGTAACTATTCACAGTGATGTGAGCGTCAGAATACCCGCCTCGACCACTTCCGACAACCCTATATGCACGCTCGTTACAGAATAATAATTTTTTTTTTTTAGCCCAGCTTCATTGTGCTAACAATATATGTTTCATACTTATATAATAATGACACTGTGGCTAATTCTATTTAATCACCTGTCCAATATTCTATAAGATTTTGAAAAATTACAATTGTTGCCAGCTTATAAACTATACAGTATATTTCTTCTTAGTGCATTCCTAACTTTGAATATAAAGAAAGAAAAAGAAACACTCATTTACAACTAACACAGCGTTCCATCACTTTAAACTTTGTAAATTATTACCTTTAGAAAAAAAAAAAAAAACTCCCACTCATTTATAACTAACATTGCGGTCTTCGAGGATATAATGAAGATGAATTTCCCATATTAATTCCTCCCCAGATAGTGCCACGACCATCAATAGAATCAAACTCTCGTTTCTCATCATCTCGTTTCCAGCCATGAACTTGATATCCACCCAGGGAATCTAACCCTCGTTTTTCATCATCTCTTTTCCACCCATGAACTTGATATCCACCCAGGGAATCTAACCCTCGTTTTTCATCATCTCTTTTCCACCCATGAACTTGATATCCACCCAGGGAATCTAACCCTCGTTTTTCATCATCTCTTTTCCACCCATGAACTTGATATCCCCCCAGAGAATCTAACCCTCGTTTCTCATAATCTCGTTTCCAACCATGAACTTGATAACCTCCGAGAGAATCTAACCCTCGTTTTTCTTCATCTCGTTTCCACCCATGAACTTGATATCCCCCGAGAGAATCTAATCCTCGTTTCTCATTGGCATATCTCTTCCATCCGTGAACTTGATATCCACCCAGAGAATCTAACCCTCGTTTTTCATCATCTCGTTTCCAACCGTGAACTTGATATCCACCCAGAGAATCTAACCCTCGTTTTTCCTCATCTCGTTTCCACCCGTGAACTTGATATCCACCCAGAGAATCTAACCCTCGTTTCTGCTCTTGTTGCTGACTGTGAACCTCGCTGCTACTGTCCCAGGCACTGTCCGATGGATTTATAGAACCAGTTTCCCCAGCTTTTGTGTTTCGGGCACTTGAAATGTCCTGATTATTAAACCCATTACCATTAATCGACCTAGTTGACCTTTTCTTCCATCCATGTACCTGAAACCCACCCAGTGGATCCAAACCTCTTTTCTCACTGTTTTGTTTCAAGCCCTGATCCGTATGTCCATCAAGAGTATCTAAACCTCTTTTCCACCCATGAACCTGGTTTCCCCCTAGACTATCTAAACCCCTTTTCCACCCATGAACCTGGTATCCCCCTAGACTATCTAAACCTCTTTTCCACCCATGAACCTGGTATCCCCCTAGACTATCTAAACCTCTTTTCCACCCATGAACCTGGTATCCCCCTAGACTATCTAAACCTCTTTTCCACCCATGAACCTGGTATCCCCCTAGACTATCTAAACCTCTTTTCCACCCATGAACCTGGTATCCACCCAGACTATCTAAACCTCTTTTCCACCCGTGAACGTGGTATCCACCAAGATTATCTAAACCCCTTTTCCACCCATGAACCTGATATCCACCAAGTGAGTCTAAAGAACGTTTCTGCAGCTCATGTTCTCCTTCAGAATCTACTGTAGAATGGTGACTCAATGATTTAGTAACCTCAGCTGCGTCTCGTTTCGTGCGACTACGTGATCCATATGCATGTCTAACAACATTTTTGTTCAGTGGTTCGTTTAGATACTCTCGCTGCGTTTTTCGTCTGTCAAATCCATAATTATCCACGCTTCTTTTGAATCCATGAACCTCGGACCCTCCTAAGGAATCGAAGTAGCGCTTTCCTTTCTCCGTATCTGACTGGCTGCCATAGGGAAGTCCGAAAACACGCCCGCTCTGGGGTCCCAGAGACGAGTACCAGGTATTTTGAGGCAGGTCGGCCAGTTCAAAAATCGTTTGATCGTCTTCTGATGACGAAGTGTCGTCTCTCGAAACAGAACGTTGATTGTTGACTCCGTTTTGATTCGCGGATTTAGCGAGGGTCAGAAATCGGGAAAATGGCATCAGTTGCGGATATTCTCTGGACAGCATCTAAAGAAAATAAAGAAAATAAGCATTTACTAGTATTTCATATTTAATAATGAGCATTTAAGAAAAGTTTACAATTACTAAAAATAAACAAACCTATTTTCTTCTTCTTCTTAATTACCGGCTGCAATCTGGTTGGTCGTCCATTTCTATTTCCTTGTCCTGTTTCAGAATCTGAGGGTTACTTGCGTGCACTGATCTGATTCATGTGTATGCAGACTGTTGGTTCATTGCCTCTCAGGCAGATACTGCGACTTTGAACAAAGCTCCATATTGGTCGTCTCTTACAACATGTATTTGGGTAGGCAGTGGGTTTATTACGGTTATGAGTCCTGGACTCTCATTCAGTCAACGAAGAGAAGGATCGGAGCTTTTGAATTAAAATGTTACAGAAAAATTCTCAGATAACTACGGATCCAGAGGAAGAAAGGCGTCGACATTCTACATCAGGTGAACATCATGGAGAATTTGCTCATAAACAGCATCCTGTCCCGAAAGTTGAACTATTTTCACCACATAAAGGCATGGTGGCCTGGAAAGGACAGAGATGGAAGGTGCAGTTTGTGGGAGGCGAGGCAGGGGTCGACCTCTGCGAAGATGGATACAGAACATTAAAGATGCATTGGGATTGAAAGCACATGGGGCTGGAGAGCTGGCTAGAGAAAGGGATATTTTCAGCATACCGTGAAGAGAGCGACGTTCTGTTAAAAACTTGCTGACTGAGGATGTTTACTTCACAATAGGCTCCCTGTACCCAGTCTGGGAACACAGACTCGAAAGGAAATACTGAAATATCAGATTGAACTGCTGCTTGCTTCGTAGAAAAACAACAACAACAAAAACAGAGAAAAAAATTTCCATCGCCTACAACTGTGGTGCAGCGGCTAGACACTAAACGCTGATCGGATGGCCGTGAGTTCGGGTCTTGACAGAGCCGGACAGTCGTTTTTCCAGAAATGAACTGACTCCGACTTCGACCTAGCCTTGAGTGGCTACCAGGTATAGTCATGGGAAGTAAAAGCGAGCGGCTTTATCCTGACCACATCACCCACTGAGTGCCGATTGGTCTATAAAAAATAGGTTTAGCCCTATTTGCCAAATACTCCTGAAGACGTAGAAAAGTGTCTTTTACCTAATTTTTCTTCAACTAGCAAGGATAAGAGATGTGTGGTTATAAATGTGATCTTCACGTAGTTATCTCTCATGCTGTTTGTGATTCTTGAATTCCTATTGGGTATTTCTGTTGAGAACATTCTGTTTGGCAGTTATTCATGTGGCTCAGAGGCTGGTTAAATTGTTTATCAGTTTCATGATCCTGGAAAACTAGGGTTCGTTTCCTGCGTCAACGGAAAAAACGCTCTGTAGTTTTCGGACAATGGTACGAGAGTTGCTTTGAGGAAACGAGTGGGACCTTACCACGTAATTTTTCCAAAGGTAACAGTCGTATCTTGCAGCCAACTTTCATTGTCGACACAGCACAGTTACATAGGTGTCTTTTTTCTTTCAACTGGCTAGTTAATCGTGTAGCAATAGTAAATATATGCTTTATTGTATTTGCTCAGCGTCAAGTTTTAGTGCGTTTCAAAACTCATGCCGCCACAATTTAACAAATATATCGAAAAATCCAGTACGGATGAACAGGAATTTCTGCCTGTGCCTTCCAATGTCCTTCTGACTCGGTATTTATAACTGCTCAGGTGCTGCTGTTTTCTTAAAGTGGTGAATTTATATCACCTATGTTTGACTAATAATTTATGTTGTCGGGAAACGCATATGAAACGTGTGCAGTCTTCCATGTTTTGAAAAGTTCCCCTTACTCACTTCACTCGTTGCTGTAAGCGTGCTGACTGTTTGCTCTGAAACGGTGACTGTTTCTTTCAAACGCCGCAAAAAAAAAAAAAAAAAAATAAAGGACCCTTGTCCACGCCTTCATGCGTATTGTTCATATAGGGCTAGACCTGTGTCACACAGATCAATCAGTACGTGGATGTGGGGGGGGGGGGGAGGGTGACGTGGACAGCATCACACCAGTCGCCTTTACTTCCCAGGATTGTACCTATACTTACTCAAGGCTGTGTCGACCTTAGAGCCAAAGTCATTTTCGAACAAATATCGGGCTCGCTGAGACCCGAACACATGACCTTCTGATCTGCAGCGAGCCTCTAGCCGCTAGCCACGGCAGCTTTCATACAGCAAATAAGGCAAAGTAAAAACTAAAGGTTTGTTCAAGTTTACACCAAAAACAAAAACAAAACAAAAACAACTTACAAGGACATGATTATTAATTAACAGGCCAGATAAAAGCCAAAAGTTCAAGCGGACGATAACCCGGGACCTTTCGCCGGAATTCACAGCCGATGAACGAGGAAGAAAAAGATTAACAGGCTGTGTGCCAAATTTTAACATCCTACACGGCTCGGTTACCAGCTTACAGACTTTTAAAGTTCGGCGGGACTTTTGGAAAGTACTTCATGGTATACAAGGATTTGGGGAGGTGGGGAGGGGGGGGGGGATAGAAATCTGTTCAATTTATTGATCTAAAAAAACACTGCTGGCACCTAGTGTCCTAAAAGGCGAATAATTGAGAGCCAAGAACCAAGAGCCTGTACACAAAATAAGCCAGATTTGTTAAACGAATGTGCACATAATTCTCAAAATCTGGAATAAGACTTAAGTCCAGAGGTTGAAGAACAATCAGAACGTTCCGCTGAAGTTCACAGCTAATGAACACTAAGAAGAAGAAGAAGAAGAAAAAAGAAGAAGAAGAAGAAGAAGAAAAAAAAGAAGAAGAAGAAGAAGAAGAAGAAGAAGAAGAAGAAGAAGAAGAAGAAGAAGAAGAAGAAGAAGAAGAAGAAGAAGAAGAAGAAGAAGAAGAAGAAGAAGAAAAAGAAGAAGAAGAAGAAGAAGAAGAACAACAACAACAACAACAACAACAACAACAACAACAACAACAACAACAACAACAAGACACCATCCTTTTATCGGCATTTGAGACGGCAAGAGTGTTGCAGCAGGAATCAGAGGGAGTAATCCACCTGTTGTGTTCTGGTAGGAACTGGTCCTTGCTGGGAACATAACCAAATTACCAAACAATATCAGGCAGTCGGTTCCTACAGAGTGATGAAAGAGACATAGAAGATACGTGGAAGAGACTTAGAGAGATGTGGAAGAAATGTGGAATGGACATGGCAGAGACATGAAAGAGATACGGAAGAAATGTGGCAGAGACGTAAAAAAGAAATGGAACAGACGTTGAAGAAACATGGAAGATACGTGGAAAACGCGCGGAAGAGACATGGGATAGACATGGCAGAGAAGAGGAAGAGGAGTAGAAGAGACATGAAAGATACATGGAAGAGACGTGGAAGTGACATGACAGAAATGTGGAAGAGACGTGGAAGTGACATGGCAGAGATGTGAAAGAGACGTGGAAGAAACATGGAAGATACATGAAAGAGACGTGGAAGTGACATGGCAGAGATGTGGAAGAGACAGAGAAGAGACTTGGAAGAGACATGGAAGAGACTCAGAAATGAAACAAAAAAGACATGAAAATGAAAAAGAAGAGAAGTAGAAAAGACATGGAAGGGGAATAGAAAAGAAATGAAAGGCACATGAAAAAAAAAACAAAAAAAAAAAAAAAAACACGAAAGCGACATACTAGAGACATAGAAGAGACATAGAAGAGAAGCCTCCAATTTGAAAAACTGCACAATTTTATTTTAAAGGTGATATAAATTCACCACTTTAAGAAAACAGCAGCACCTGAGCAGTTATAAATACCGAGTCAGAAGGAAATTGGAAGGTACAGGCAGAAATTCCGGTTGATCCGTACAGGATTTTTCGAGATATTTGTTAAAGTGTGGCGGCATGAGTTTTGAAACGCACTAAAGCTTGACGCTGAGCTAATACAATAAAGCATATATTTACTATTGCTACACGATTAACCAGCCAGTTGAAAGAAAATAACACCTATGATCTTATAAATAACTGCTGTGTTCGCTCTATGGTTTCATACTCTTGAGATCGCGCTGTGTTCTTGGCAGACAGCCCAGTCGTCAGCACCTCTCGTCTTCCGCTCGATCGCTAACTCTCCATTCGTTTCCGATTTTCGATAACTAGATACTTGACACCCATTGACTAGTTACCGTAGTCGGCGTTGCGTGTTAGTTTTAGCAGCCCGTTTTACGCACCACTAGCAAACGAATGTCCTGTGAACTGTTGGGAAAGAACCCTTGGTGTCCTTTTCAGGAAACTTAACAAGACTCTTAAGGGATCTAGCTTTCGATATACATCGCCATAGACAGCATTTTTTCAGTCATGGGAAAAAAACACAGGCTCAAGCCGCCGCAGAGAAGTTAACTCTTTGAGTCCCAAGGAACGCATCATACGTTCATAGGTTCCTACCTAGAAGCCCAATGAACGCATGATGCGCCGATTTTTTTACTCTCTTTACTACTTCCTGGGCCTGTGGCGTTAAACCCCCTGGGACTCAAAGAGTTATAGAAGATGCCGCCAAGTCAAACCACAGCCAAGTGGACACCATTGCTGCAGCTTCTCCATCAGCATCGAAGAAAGGCGCCCCTATCGTGGCGCCTCCCTCACCTAACAGAGATGTGCCAGCACCGGAAGCCGCCCCCATCGTGGCGCTAGCACCTGAAGCCTCCCTTATCGTAGAGCCATCACCTAAAGCCGCCCCAGTCGTGGCGCTGGGACCCTCCAGCACCCGTCTACCAAAGCAGCAGCCTGGAGCCTACACCACAGACATCATGCAGTGCGCAACGCCATATGCCGATACTGTTCGGGGGCGCACGATTTCAAAGAGTGCCCCTTGGCAAAAATCGAACAGGACTTAAGGAGGCCGAACAACTACAGACGGTGCTCTAACTGCACAGGCGCTCACAGTGCGAGGTATCTGGGCTGCCCGTACCTCAAAGACATAAAGAGAGGGGTGTCCAGTGCCGTATCAAGGAACA